GATTGTCTTCTGAGAGACACCTATTTTCTTCTTGATAAAACAAAACTATTGTTATATTTTCAATCAAGTTCACCCTTATTTTAATATTGTCTTTTACTGTTCATCAAGGTGGTACTATTAAAATAGAAATGAGACTTCACTATGTGTGTTAGTATTTTCTTTTCTCAACTCAATGAAAACTAAGATCACCTAGAAGAATGGAACTTTAACTGAGGAATTGCCTCCAACAGACTGGCCAGTGTTTTGTAGCTTAATGGTTGATGTGGAAAAGCCAAGTGCCACTTCTAGACTAGCGTTCCTGGGCTGTAGAAGAAAGCAAGCCAAGCAAGCCATGGGGAGCAAAGCCATTCATCCATGATCCCTGCCTCAGCACTTGACAGCTTCCTGTCTTTACTTTCCTCTCTGATGGACTGTGTAAGCCACATGAACCTTTTCCTCCATGAAGGTGTTTACTGAGTTCATCACAGCAACAGAAATCAGACGAGAAATCTCAAAAACTTTGATTTGCTCAGTGCCCACTTTTCAGAGCTTTTTTTTTTCATTTCTGAAATGAAAATAATTTATTTCCTTTAAATGCTGTTCTTTACCATTGCAAATGTCTCTTGAGTTTAATTAGCATCCTCAACTACTTTATGACCGCAGGACCACAAATGTCATCTGAAAATGTAAAACCTTTATCCTTTAACTTCACTTTGCTTTCACGCATAGTGTTGCTCTAAAATCATGGCAGTGATATTTATTAGCTGTCTTTGCAAAACTGTGGGTAATACATCTTTCACATTTCATTGAGAAGAAAGGAAACCGAATCCCACTAGCATCTCCATTATTAGTTCCTCGTCTTCATTTCTTCCTGCGGAGATTTCTTTTCTTTCCTTTTTCTTTTTCTTTTTTCTTTTTTCTTTTTCTTGCTATTAGATGGTGTGCTTGCATGGTTTTTACATTTTACAGTGGCAGGCTGAAGAAGCAATATCTTATTTTTAGGTTGGAGAATTAAGTCCTACATTGGATGGTATGGCTCATGTGATCTCCCAGCCAGTCTGGCTCACATTGAAGATAGTATAGTGATTTTTGACAGGGAAGAGGGTCTTTATTTTCAGCAAGGACATGTTTTCACTTTGCTCCAGTGGATAACAATAAACAGTGACTCTGTAACACCCCGTATTCCCTTGGATTCTATCAGTTCTATAGAGTACATACCACAGTTTTACACTGGGTTCACTTCTAGGAACCCATCCACAGCCTAAATGTGGGCACCTCTTTACAGAGCACTGTGTGTGAATCAACCTGGCAGGAAACTCCTTATTTCTCAAATTAAATCAAATTCTTATTTTTTTTTCCTAAGCGTAGGGAGGCTTCTAAACTTCAAATGGTTGCTCCTATTATCCAAAACTCTCTTAAATATAGAAATAACCATCAGGTCATTTAATTTATCCAAAGTGTTCCACATGATCCTGTCTCAGAGTGCACATTCTGACCTTTTGTCTGAGGAATACACCAGATCTCCATTTGGGGGCATCTCTTGCTCACTACGCTCTGAGTCATGTCTAAGACTGTGCCCCCACACTGCATAAGCCAGATGTCTACTTTTGCCATGGAATATGGAATTATTTCATTTGAATTCAGGGAGGCACAGCCAATAAGAGTCTATTAACAACAATCCACCTTTCATCTGTGACCCACAATTTTTCTGTCTCTGACTCAAAGTTTAATTTTCCTCTCCAGCTACTTTGAACAAGATGGGTTTTGTCAAAAGCTCATTTCCTTGCTTCTATCTTTGGCTGTGTGTGCAGGAGTCTCTCTGTCTGAAAGGAACTTCCCTTCCTTCACTGTTCATTTGTGTAAACATGTACTCTTCCTTCAAAAACTCTTATCAAATTCCATTTATGAAGCTTTCTCTAAATATCTCATTGTAAACACACACACTCTACTTTCTCACACACACACTACTCTCTTTCACATACCCGTACACATGCTAAGTTTATTATTATTATTATTATTATTATTATTAATTACAATTTATTCACTTTGCATCCCAGCTGTAGTCCCCTCCCTCTTCTCCTCCCAATCTCACCCTGTCTCCCCTTTCTCCCCCTTCTTCCCTCTCCTAGTCCACTGATAGGGGAGGTCCTCTTCCCCTTCTGTCTGACCCTTGCCTAACAGGTCTCATCACAACTGTCTGGGTTCTCTTACTCTGTGGTCTAGTAAGGCCACCTCGCCAGGGTGATCAAAGAGCTGACAACAGAGTTCATGCCAGAGACTACCCCTGTTCCCTTTACTAGAGAACCCCCATGGAAACAGAGTTACCCATGAGTTACATCTGAGCAGGAGCCTATGTCCTCTCCATGCATGGTCCTTGGTTGATTCATCAGTCTCTGCAGGTGCCCTGGGCCCAGATACTTTGGCTCTATTGGTCTCCTCTTGGAGATCCTGTGCCCTCCAGGTCTTTCTATCTTCCCCCTTCTTCCATAAGTTTCCTTGCACTCTGCCCAAAGTTTGGCTATGAGTCTCAGCAACAAGCAGCACAGCTATGATTGCTGCCTGAGGGAGGCTTCAGGAAGAAGTTTCCTGTAGATCTCACTTAACCAATAAACAGACATTACAGAATGCCCTGAGTGATCTTCTGAACAGTCTCTCACTTTTTTTTAAAGTTCGTTTAAACTAAGACAACATTTTTATTTTGGAAACAAACCATGAGGTAAAACCAATTTATAAAATTATTCAAGTTGATATTTTATTATCTTTTTTTTTTTCTGATAATGTAAAAGTTAAATTTTTTCTTAAGATGTTTCAAATTATTTAACAGAATATGTCCAGGGGCTTGAGAAAGAGGAAGTATAGTTTTCAAATTCCATACCAGCAATATTGGGAAACATGTGCACGAAAAAACTCTTATGAGCATTCCTAGAATTGATTCTTTTCCCCTATTGCACCCGCTACAACATAACAGAAAAAAAAGCTTGGGTGGAGTTGAGAACTCTTTTCAAATGTTAAACAATCACTGGAAATCCTGAAAATGTATCCTCCTCCATCCAGTGGGAAAAACACTTTAATGTTTTTTTTTTTAACCCTAAGAATTGTTTAGCAAGAGATTTACTCAGAAGTTTCTATTTTTGACAGAAAGTTCAGTTTTTACTGCCTGAAATATAATGCCATCTGTGTTTACTTTTCCCTTCCAAAACACAATCCCTTTTCCCCTGTGCTTATAACAAGTACATGGTTCTGATAACCCGGATCAGAAAGCTATAAATCTCATTTTTGATTCTAAGCCACGGAGAGTGTATCTTCAAAATAAAAATTTTAAGATATTCTGGTTAATAGTTATGTCCATGATATTTATTTGCCGTTGAGGGGGTGTGGGGAGTTAAGAAATTGGGCACAATGCACACTGAAATGTAGTGAGTACGCAGATAAAGGTGTCAGGGGTTCAGGACCAAAGGATCCCAAACTCACTCATACCCACCACTGCTTCCGCTCACACACCTACTGTTCCAGTAGGACGGCTGTCAGAATCATTAAGAAATGTAATTATTAATCAAAAGCTCTTCGTTATCTTATGTTTGGTGAAATGATCTATAACCATAAAAAGTCATTATAGATTTATATTTGAGCTATCACATTCCTGTAAAAGAATTATGCTGATAGGCAATGAGTCGCTTTCCTACTGCATCCTCCATAAGAGGAAACTCAGGAAATTTACTTCATGTGTATTTCAATGAATATTTAACTCCCACTTAAAATTGACAATCTTTCATTCTAAAAATTTTATTGTCTTCAAGAGTATACCAAATCATATTTTTGGGGAGTGAGGTCTGTAGTCAAACAGATCTCTAACATCAAGCCCAGCATGGATTCTAGAAAGTCTCTGTTCTCACAGAGAAGGATTTTGTTGCCAGGCATCTTAATGGACGTGTTCCTGGAGCAGTTGGGCCTGCTGGAGCAAGCCTAATACTTCCTGTTTCCTTTTGTGCCTTCAGAAGGCAGAAGTTAAACCACAGCTACATGGGGGATGGAAAGTTTCCATCCATCGGAGTGCACATCGGTGTGGAGAAGGAAGCAGAAGAGGACAGAGGCTGGACCACTGCTCATAGTTGCACCACTGGAGAATCTGACACAGCCCACTCGTGCTTTTCACTTCTCAAATCTATAGGAAGAGGAGCTGCAAGCCCATACTTATGTGGATTTAGGAGAACTACAAAAATAATTTTCTAGGCTTTCAACCTAAAGGCAGATGTCATCTCCATTGTCCTTTGTTCAGAAGCAGCAATAAAATACGTTCTTACTCCCATATGGGGCCTACTTAACACAGTCTGCATGTCCATGTGTAGGGCGGGACTAAATACTACTCACACCTGCCTTCACTTAGGTTCTAAATTAATTCTCTGAGTTGTCTTATATGCATCATGTAAATAACTGAGACTTCATATTACAATTGTTTTATTTATTTATAACTTCTCATTTTCCTTAGCTTGTGGGTGTAATAGACAATTTAGGGAACAGTTGGTAAAATAAGCTGACCATAATTAAATAACAAATGTTAGTTTATACATCCTTCAACACAGGATACAAAAGCATATCATGAAAGAGTTATCAATAATATGACTACTTAATGTTTTACTACAATACACACAAGAAACAAAGAAAAGATCCTTTTAAAACTCCCTCTAATAAAGAAAAAAATATTAATTTACATATTTGTCTAGGAATATTATATACAAGGTATTGATGAGTGTTTAAAACTCTAGTAAAAATTTTAAATCAATAAGCAATCTTATGCTTGTGTGTGTATGCATGTGTGTGATGAAGTCTCATGCACTAGCCCAGACTGGACTGGAAATAATTGTTACCCAGGCTGGCTTTAAACTCTTGGCAATCTCTCTGGCTCAGCCTCCTACTGCTGGAATTACAGGCATGAGCCATCTCCTGCACCAATTCTCTAGTCTGTTTCTTGAAAGAGTAACTGGATCAAAGGAAGAGCACTGCCAACTTTGACCATTACTCACGAGAGAATGTTCCCGATATAGGCGTAGTAGGAGCAGCAGTAGGGTGTACTTCCATCGCAGCAGTAAGATCTGCAGTCTTTGCCACACTGAGCAAAGCAATTTTCTACAATGTAAAAATAAGAGCAGTTGAAGTTGCAAAATCACAGCTTAAGAAAAAAAATATTCTGTTCATGTCTAAATCAACCAACCAGTTTTCAGGATGTTCATTTTCACATCCTAAATCCCAAAACGCTTCTAAGGGTTTAAATTGGCCTTTCTCCCAAGTTAGACTCTAAGCTGGTGGACAGAAGCCATTCTTGCCAAGTCTTCTGCTCTGAACACTGCAGCTGAGGTTGGCTTTGGGTGAAAAGATTATGATGGATGGAATGTGTCAGCTCACCAGACAATAAAGTTACCAATGGAGTTCTTATAATAGCTTTTATACAACAAAATTTCCTGACTTATGTTGTTATTTTTTACCACCATAATTGTAGGTTCTATACATAAAATTATATAATTGAGTCTGCATACTGTCAATCTACAAGGCTTGGAAGATAAATAACTTGTAAATTGACAGTTAACATCATAATAAAGAATCAATAAACTATAAAACAGCACAATGTGAAAAAGAAAATTTTTGATTAAAAGATATGTTGGACTTAATATGGTCACATTGCTTTTCTCTATGTGTTTTTCAATAAGAAAATTTATACAAAAATATTTAATAAGAATCACACTGACCTTAAGCAACTTCTTATTCTACCTAAATAATTTATTTTGCAGTATAGGGTTATCATTGAGCTTTAACAAGCAGAATATGGTGGATGTGTTTCAGGTGCATATTTAAAATGCACTATAGTCCTACAATTTATATTCTAAATTGAAGAAATTCAAAATAAGCCATTTCCAACTCAGCTTTGGAAAGTAATGGGAATTGTAAGCTGTAAATTATATGAAGTTTTTGTTTCCTATTAAAGTTAAAATATTGAAGGTACAAGGTGTTGTGCTTATGGACACATGTTCTTTTAGTGCTTTCTCTATAAGGGGACCTTATGGAGCTTTTAAATCAGGTCTTCCTACGATGTGATCCCAACAGAGCACAGTCTCTAGCATTTTGTTGATTAATGTGGGTTTTGTAGAACAAGTGAGAAAGGTCATATTTTCTTCCTCCTCATTTTATTTCTATATCACAGATAAACAAAATGAACTTTAGAAGTTTCTACTTGACTGGAGAGGGAAATTATTTTTGTTATTCTACTTAAATCAACATGAGAAACACAATCAATCATAAAGCTCTAAGAGAGAAGCTGCCACACTGACAATAGTATTCTAAAAATACATATTTTTGGTTTACTCATTTGTTTGGTAGATACGCCTTTCTGTAGCCCAAAGTGGTTTATGAATGCTGAAGCTGACCTTTAACTCCAGATCTCGTGACTTTACCTTCTAAACATTCCTCCCAGCTAGGACATCAAATTTTAGGCTTCTTATTCTTCTGTTTTCCTATTTTTCCAGCTCGATTTTTTGCTGCTCAGTTGATTCAAATATTTAGACCAGTCAGCTATCTCCAGAGCTTATCAGGGATGTGCTGCTGTTTGGTTCTTAAAAGCTACTGAGAGTCTGGAGTGGTGGTGCATGCCTTTAATCCCAGCACTCAGGAAAGTAGGTGGATCACCGTGAGTTCTTTGAGGCCATCATGGTCTACAAAAGAGCAATCAGGACAGCCAAGGCTACACAGAGAAATCCTGTCTTGAAAACAAAACAAAACAAAGAAAGAAAGAAGGAAGGAAGGAAAGAAGAAGGAAAGCTATGGAGATCATGAAGACCCCAGGACTTGTGGTGCTGGCAGGAACAGTGACTTCCAATTGGGCTTCCCAGGAATTCAATGATTCAACTGCCCCATTGCACTCATTACTGTTACTGCTGACATGAGGACACGGTGTTATCAAAATAATGTGAACCAACTTGCAGGAAACCAAGCCTCAAATTTTCTAGCCAAGAAGCTGGATAATTCCGGCAGCAAACATCCATGCCCTGTCACGCACTATTCATTACTTTTATGGCATTTTCTAGCACTGTTGCCTAATTCCCAGAATTAAACAACGGAAAAGGGTGAATTTAGCAGCTTGACAAATGTACTCACAATCATAGCACTTCCTAACCGAAGCCTCAATCAGACCACCAAAGCTTATTGTACTATCACAGTTTTGGGGCTTTTTTTTTTTTTTCATGTCATGAGAATACAATGCAGATCATCATTCGGACTACATAGGACTGTTTGTCCTTCATGAAATAATGGGACAGTCCAGTTGCTCTCTGAAGATAAAATAGCATCACTTCTAACATACAAATTAATATTCCTGACAGTGAGTTCAAACTGTCTTCAAGTGCTTTTTCATGAGACCTGCGATCTGGAAGGTTCCCCTAGCACACTTGCCGCCCCCACCCCTGCTCCCACCTTTAAGAATGTGTAGTACAGGATAGTGCTATCTGGCTTGAAGCCCTTGCTTAGAATTGGCTTCTGCCAGATCTAGCTGAGTCTAAGAGGAAGGAAAAGGAGGGGCAGAAGGTACAGGCACCGGAAGGTAAAGCCTTGGTAGAATCCTGTCTTTGTAGCCTGCAGTGGGAGTTGGACAGTAACCTAACCACTTCATCTGGAGCTCCTTCCAAAAATTACTACATAAAAAACACAATGTGTTAAGCATAGAAAAATTTACTATTTGCTTAACCAAACAGAACACTAACATAAGTGTGTTCGCTTTGTGCAATAAAGCTAGGGAAAAGCCACTGTAAGGCAATGTATCCACTTACGGGCTTTCTGTGTTGTGAAACCAGGAGTTCTTTTAGTAATGTGTTTAGGCATTTAATCACAATTCATGTCTTCAGTTACACCTTCATTCCAATCAAACTGAAATCCATTTCTGGGATTACCCATCTTTCTATGCAGCTTGTCTTAATACTATATCCTTAATACTATATCGTAATATTTTCTTCTTCCAGGGCTTTCCTAGTCTCTAAGTGTTCTGTTCTCCCATGTTTTCCTCATTCAGATTTCCTTAAGTGCATATTGATAGAGCTCTTCTGTAGTCCAATAACCTTGCCTGCCTGTGAGGCTATTTTTCTGAACATAAGCATTACCCAAAGGGTGATTACCCAAAGGGGCTTACTCCCTTGAAATAATAACATATCCCCTCTTCTTTGATAACTCTAGTACAAGATTGTTCCTGTCCTGTGATATGTGCTTTCCCAAATTAAACTTATCTCTGGTTCACCTTATCACCCACCGAAAACTCAGCATGGCCTCTGCTCTAGTTGCCAGGTATAAATATGGCAACAGCCTCTGAAACATGAGGTTCAGAAATTTTCACCAAGGAACTCATCAACTCAACATTTTTTACACAAACAAGCAAGCCAGCCTAGTGTTGGCTTGCAACTACTTAGTAGCTTGTTAGATAGGAATTTGGAGAAGAAAACTTTGAAGTGAAAATACCTATAGAAACCACTCCACTAACTCCTGCCACTGATGCTGGTTTCCTGAACACTGGAGAACTGTGCATGTAGCCTTAGGATGGGAAAAGGACAAGAGCAGGCCTGAGAAGTCAACACCTTCCCACCTACTGCAGTGAAGAAGTACAGAACAAGGAAACTGTGGCTCCACAAAGTTACTGAGTCAATGCAACAATGCCACTAAAGCCTCATTTACTTCTTGCTGTTTTCTTGTGTTTGTGTTACTTTGCTAAGCTGAAGAGTGGGAAGAATCATCATTGCTTTCAAGAAAAGAGAAGATGTTGATGTAAGATAAACAGGAATATAGCTGATACTTAGTGCCTCCAAATGGGAAAACTGTGTACAGTCTAAACAGCAGGAATGAGGCGATCGCTAGAACGGGAATTATCTTCATCAGCTAAGAAGTACTTGTTTTATTAATTTCTATGTTAGAAAGTCAGCATTTCCCCATATTATCTTTAATATAATAACTTTTAGACTTACTATTTTTTTAAATAGGCTTATTTTTGAGACAGGGTCTCATATATTACAGGGTGGGGGAGGGGCTCTCAAACTAACCACATAACTGACAGTGAAGGTTCTGATTCTCCTGCCTCCACCTCAACACTGCTGGGCTTACAGATGTGAGTCACAACAGCTGGTTAATGCATTGCAGGGGATTAAACCCAAGCCTTTATGTTTGCTTATGTTAAGCAAGTACTTGACCAACTGTGCTCAACCCCAGGCCTTAGTCTGCATATTAATAGATTAAATTTTTCTACTAGTGAGGACTCCTTTCTGGAAGAGCACGGTGAGGAATTTGTTTTGATGCAAAGATGCAATTCAGTTTTTTTTGCTGTAACTGACAAGGCTGAAGAACATCTTCATTTCAGATCCAGTATTTTGGCAAGTGTGGAGAAGTGAACAGCTCTGCGGACTCCTAGGTCGGCTTGTGATTCATTGTCATAGAAAGTTAGAAACACAAGATGTTTTAAGGCTGCTGCTGCCTGTGAACAGGAGAGTGCGTGTAATTAACTTTATACTTGAATAAGCAGTGAAAGGCCATATGAGGCTCCCTATCAATCACAGAACAAGAAAACCACTCTACTTCATTAATTATTAGCATTTGCCGCTAAGAATAATTATAAAGAAGAAAATGAGGCGCCTTTCACAAACAGACGCTTAATCACGTTTTAAAAAGAAAGTAAGTTGTATGGCTCCTGCTGAAATCCTAACTTGCCTAAACTCTATAGCTCAGAGCACATGATTATTGTTCAGCCTATTTTGTGGATCTTCTTAAATATATGGGGACAGGTCTAACGTAACCGACTCTAAACGAGGAAAGACTGGGTTATTCAGAACGTGAGCAGTCGGAGATAAATGTACAAGTCACTAATGCGTTTATTTCGAATAACTTCACCTTTACGTTCCAAGTATTTTAAAGAGTCTCTGCCAGCGCCCTACCTGAGTTCACTGAAGTCTTGAATGTGTTTTTACACTAGCCAGATCAAAATTCCGTTTAATGCAGTTTCTGAGTTGTTTTGCAAACAAAGGAAGAAGAAGAAGAAGAGGAAGAAGAAGAAGAAGAAGAAGAAGAAGAAGAAGAAGAAGAAGAAGAAGAAGAAGAGAGCACATCAGTAATGTTAAATAAAGGAGAGGATAAGTGTTCCAGCCGTGGTGTCTGTGTTGCCTCCTAAGGGAATCGCTACCCTTCCACATTCCTGCTTTGATCCCACGCCCCTGGACCGTCTGTGCCTGTTCCCACTATCACTGACCTGCGTAGACAAACAGCAGGACTAACTTCGGAAGCAGGACCCCTGGACGCCGGGGCAGCCTCAGCGCGTCCATCCAAGCCGGTGGCCCCAGACGGGTCGACCTGGCCGAGGCTGGAGTGACGGGAGAGCCAGGAACCCCGGCAGCGATGCGAAGGATACAGAGAGGTCAGATGAACAGAGCTGTGCTCCCGGGAACACAGTCCAGAGCGGCCCTAGTCATGACCCCAGCCAGAGCCCTGGACTGCGGAAAGCCGGGCCCCGCTGGTGGTCCTAAGCCTGGCTGAGCTCCGGCAGGGGCTCTTTGTCCCGCCCAAAGGTGCTCTGAACTGACAAGGGGGGGGGGGGGGGGGGGGGGCCGCCCCGGGGGGCTGGGCCGCCGGGGGGGGGGGGGGGGGGGAAGGCGGCCTCTCCGGCGTGCTTGGCCACCCAGGCTCACATTTCAGCTGCAAGGGTGTCACCAACGTGGGATGGGGGTGGGGAGGAGGTGACAGACTCCTCCCCACTTTTCTGTGTTCCTCTGTTGAATGACAAGGTGCTTGGGCTCTGTCTGGAAGGAACTTCTGTTTGGCTTTTGGCAACTCCTGGTGTGTTCCCTCTGGATCACAACACCCCCACCTCGCCCTCAAACAATGGATGCACGCAGACTTTAGCTTCTGTCCAAACAAATGAAGATGGGAGTTTTCAGATTTAAGGACAGTGACGGCAGCTCTGAGTGCGAAACGACAGGGGATCTCTGCTGAAAGCTGGTAAAATCTATAGTCATCAAATACTTGAAGCATTTCAAGCAAATTCGGGGAAAACAAAATGAAACAAGAGGTTTCTGGCCATCTTGATTGCTCTGGAGTTACTGTCCTATGCAATTAGATAAGATACAGAAAAAAATTATAAAAATTGGAAACGAAAATATTAGCAAATAAGGTGTTCCTATATGTGGAAAATCAATCAATCAATCAATACTGAAGCTATTTTCTAAATAAAAAATCAATAATTTTTTCTTTGTAAATGAAAATCAGAAAGTGTTCAATACTATGCAGAAAGAGAATCAAAGAGGAAAAAAAAAAAAGAAAAGCCAGTAAAAATAATGTGCTTCCCTCAAATTATTCTGCAAATTTAAGGATAAAATAGATCTTAATATAATTAGATATAAATAGATCTAATATGATTGCCAACCTAAAGCTTTTCAGGTAAATTGGATTCTAAAGTTTGTAGAGAAAGTGCATAAATAAGGGCAGCAAGACAGCTAACAAAAACCTGGAGATATTTACAGACAACTCATTATGTGTGTTAACACCATTTTCCTTTCTTTTTTTTAATATTAAATTGATTGGAAGATATTACTTGTGAAGTATGAAACCAAATAATAAAAATACGTTTTTTTGTTTTTTTAAGGAAGCAACACACATTTCAAAAGCTAAATATCACTGCACTTTAATTTAGTCCATCTTTTTGAAGAATTTCTCTATATCTACGTGGACCAAAGACCATAGGACCTGAATATACAGTACCTCTAACTATATTTAATATCTGAGGAAGACCCAGCCATCCACTGCGCAGAAGGAAGCCTCATCAATTCCACCCTCAGCTATAGCCAAACAGAGTGAACTTTAGTGATATCGTTCAAATATATTCTAATTTGAAAAAAAAAAAATAACCCCAACGTTTTAACACATTTACTTTATTTACGTCAGGGTTGCCATGGGCAGATGTGCAGGCCGAGGACAAGGTTCTCTTCTTCCACCATGCAGCTCTTAGAGAACAAACTGAAGTTGTCAGGCTCTGGCTCTTCACCTACACTCTGCCTGCTGAGCCCTCTGCTCTGATTTTAGACAGTATTTCTAGCTGACTCTAGTCTAGTACAGTCTTCATTAGAAGTGTCTTCTTCCCCAGAAGTACTTGCCCCACTAATAAGTTGTTTTTTTTTTGGGGGGGGGGAATTATTTGTTTGTTTTTGCTTTTCTGCTTTCAAGTCTAACACCTGCAATGTTACTCTTATTGTCCTATAGTTTAAAACGTGGTGCTGAGGTTGAGTGTGCCTCCTGATTATCTGCAGGCAGTTAGAACCAGATCAGGTCAGAGGCAGACCCAAGCATCTGCATTTCCAACACATGCCCTACTGGGGATACAGTTGAGTTAGCACCACAGGAGAGCCACACAGTTCAGAACAATACGCCCTAGGCACTATTGCCCCTGCCTCTAACTACTCCTTCAGGGAATAGCCGTGATTTTTTTTTTAATTTTATTTTTTCCTTATCAGTTACATTTTATTAACTCTGTATCCCAGCTGTATCCTGCTCCCTCATTCCCTCCCAATCCCACCCTCCCTCCCTCATCTCCACCCTGCCCCTTTCCAAGTCCACTGATAGGGGGGGACCTCCTCCCCATTCATCTGATTCTGTTTTATCAGGTATCTTCAGGACTGGCTGCAAAGCTCTCCTCTGTGGCCTAACAGGACTGCTCCTCCCTTGGGGGGTGGGGAGGTCAAAGAGCCAGTCATTGAGTTCCTGTTAGAAATAGTCCTTGTTCCCCTTACTATGGGAAACCAATTGGTTACTGAGCTACCAGGAGCTACATCCGAGCAGAGGTTCTAGGTTACATTCATACATGGTCCTTGGTTGCACATCAGTCTCAGAAAAGACCCTGTGCCCAGATATATTTGGTCCTTGTGGAGCTCCTATCCTTTCCTCATCAGACTAACTCCCCTTCTTTCATATGATTCCCTGTACTCTGCCAAAGGTTTGGTTATGAGTCTTTGTGTCTGCTTCGAAAACACTGCTAGTTAGAGTCTTTCAGATGCCTTCAGTAGACTCCTGTCATACGTTCAATGCACATCCCATCTGTCTTTCTAAATGAGGATTGATCATCTTACCCCATGTCTGCTCTCAAGATTATCTTTTTTAGGTATATAGATTTCATTATGTTTATCATATCTTATAAGTCTATAAGTGAGTATATACCGTGTTTGTCTTTCTCCTTCTGGGATATTTCACTCAGAATGATCTTTTCTAGATCCCACCACTTGCCTGCAAATTTCTTGATTTCCTCCTTTTTGATTGCTGAGTAGTATTCCATTGTGTAAAAATACCACAATTTCTGTATCCATTCCTCCGTTGATGGACATCTGGGTTGTTTCCAGGTTCTGGCTATTACAAATAAAGCTGCTATAAACATGGTTGAGCAAGTATCCCTTTTGTGTACTTGAGCAAAGTTTGGGTATATACCTAGCAGTGGTATAGCTGGGTCTTGAGGAAGCACTATTCCTAATTGTCTGAGAAAGCGCCAGATAGATTTCCAAAGTGTACCAGTTTACATTCCCACCAGCAGTGGAAGAGGGTTCCCCTTTCTCCACAACCTCTCCAGCATGTGTTGTCCCTTGAGTTTTTCATCTTGGCCATTCTGATGGGTGTAAGGTGAAATCTCAGGGTCATTTTGATTTGCATTTCCCTGATGGCTAATGATGTTGAGCATTTCTTTTTTTTCTTTTCTTTTTCTTTTCTTTTTTTTTTTTTAGGGAACAATATATTTTATTATTAACTTTTTTTATTTTTTATTAATTACACTTTATTCATTTTGTATCCCCCCATAAGCCCCTCCCTCCTCCCCTCCCGATCCCACCCTTCCTCCCATTTCTGCATGCATGCCACTCCCCAAGTCCACTGATAGGGGAGGTTCTCCTCTCCTTTCTGATCTTAGTCTATCAGTTCTCATCAAAAGTGGCTGCATTGTCCTCTACTGTGGCCTGGTAAGGCTGTTCCCCCCTCAGGGGGAGGTGATCAAAGAGCAGGCCAATCAGATTATGTCAGAGGCAGTCCCTCTTCCCATTACTATGTAACCCACTGGGACACTGAACTACCATGGGCTACATCTGCGCAGGAGTTCTAGGTTATCTCCACGAATAGTCCTTGGTTGGAGTATGAGTCTTTGGGAAGTTCCCTGTGTTCAAATTATCTTGTTCTGTTGCTCTGCTTGTGGAGTTCCTGTCCCCTCCAGCTCTTACTATTTCCCACTTCCTACATAAAATCCCATTCACTCTGCCCGTCAGTTGGCCATCAGGCTCAGCATCTGCTTTGACAGTCTATACTGCAGAGGCTTTCAGAGGCCCTCTGTGGCAGGTTTCAAGGTTGTTTCCTGTTTTCTTCTGGCTTTCAGAGGCCCTCTGTAGCAGGTTCTGAGGTTGTTTCCTATTTTCTTTTTCTTCTGATGTCCTTCCTTTTTGCCTTTCAGGATGGGGATTGAACATTTTAGTTAGGGTCCTCTCTTTTGCTTAGTTTGTTTAGATGTACAGATTTTAGTGGGTTTATTCTATGTTGTATGTTTATATGAGTGAGTATATACCATGCATGTCTTTTTGCTTCTGGGACAACTCACTCAGGATGATCCTTTCCAGGTCCCACCATTTACCTGCAAATTTCATGATTTCCTTATTTTTCATTGCTGAGTAATACTCCATTGTATAGAAGTACCACAGTTTCTGCATGCATTCTTCAGTTGAGGGGCATCTGGGTTGTTTCCAGCTTCTGGCTATTACAAATAAAGCTGCTACAAACATGGTTGAGCAAATGTCCTTTTTGTGTACTTGAGCCTCTTTTGGGTATATGCCTAGGAGTGGTATGGCTGGATATTACACTTTATTCATTTTGTATCCCCCCATAAGCCTCTCCCTCCTCCCCTCTCAGCCCCACCCTCCCCCCTTTCTGCATGCATGCCCCTCCCCAAGTCCACTGATAGGGAGGTCCTCCTGTCCTTCTTTCTGGTCTTAGTCTATCAGTTCTCGTCAGAAGTGGCTGCATTGTCAGGGTTCTAGGTTATCTCCATGGATAGTCCTTGGTTGGAGTATGAGTCTCTGGGAAGTTCCCTGTGTTCAAATTTTCTTGTTCTGTTGCTCTCCTTGTGGAAGTGTTTCTCTGCCACTGGATATTCCTCTGTCGAGAATTCTCTGTTTAGCTCTGTTCCCCAATAATCACAGACTTGTATGGGGTAGAGGGTAGTCTTTTGACCAAATTGGGATGTTTAGCATCCCTATCCTTGTAAGCACTTGTCAGTTCTTTGTAAAATAGACTCTCTCCTAGTTGTGCATTAGAACATGAGCATCTACTCCTGGTACCTAAGTGGCTGGTCTGTTCCTCTCCTTCCTCTCTGTGCTCTGCAGTGTCTGGTAACCTCTGCTCTGTTCTCTATTCCCTTGTGATCAGTTGTTTTTAAATTCCCATGTGAGTAAGGAGAGTGTTGTCTTCGTGGGTCTGACTAACTTCACCTAGTGTAATGCTCTCCAGATTCACTCAGGGTGCTGTGAGTGATAGGATTT